ATTCTACATCTGAGGAAGATAATATTGAATACATTTCTGAGAGTGATAGTAGTGATTAATTAATTAGTAACACATAGATGCTTTTTAATTATAGAGTAATGCATGTGTGTGGTATTGTATAATACAATTGGTGATATGTATTGTTGATAAATTTAATTGTTAATTAATTTGGTGATTAATAATTTGTTTAGATATTGCTAACTAAATTTCATGTTTGATTTATTTTTGTTTAAAATTTAAATCTAATAATTTTTTTTTCATTCATATACTAATGTAGTATTATTTCTTTTTTCTTTTTTTTTGCAGTGAATTGCTTACCTGGATCATGTAAGGGTGACAAATCTGTTAACGTTGCCACCCAAAAGCCTACCAGAAAAAATCAATCTCAAGCAACTGGATCTTCTAGTACTATTGTCCAAGAGAGCCCGATGGAGACACGTGATAATAGCAGTGACACTGATTCAAGTGCAACCTCGCCTCCTCACCCAAAAAAGGGGCGAGGTATTGCTAAACTGCAAAAAATTCCAGAGGATCCATCCCAAAAGCTGAGCATAGGAAACTGGAATGGGAAAAAATTACCTAAACAAGTTCGAAGGGAGATTTCAATCATTCTTAAGTCCAATATGCGAGATGCATATACAGGTTGGGGCTCAATATCGCGTGAGCACAAAGACGTATATTGGCAAGATTTTTGGGTTTGTAGTTATATTGAATAATTTTTAATATGTTTTTATTTATATACGTGCATTTTTTTTTGTGAGTCAATTAATACATTAATATATGATACCAATAATTTTGTTTTTCAGAATAGATATGAGTGGGAGCCCGCTTATGAGGATGCTGTGCATACCGCATTTTTAAAAGTTTGTGAAAAGAGATATAATCGGATGATGATTGATATCCAAACTTCATGTAGAAAAAATAATTTTACTGAAAAGAAAACCTACATGTCTGATGAGATTTGGGAGAAGTTAAAATACAAATGGACGGAGGACCCTCAATTCAATGCGCGGAGAGAGCAAGCGAAGCTAAATCGAGCCAAAGGCCCCAGGGTAACGCACATAGGTGGATCAATGGATTACAATGATTTTGTCAGAAAATTGGTAAAAAGTTTACTTCTAAATTTTAGATTTCATCTCATACATGATTATAATCATTTTGTAGTTAATTATCATATTTGTGTGAATTAACACAATAATTAAATATGTGATATTGCAGAAGGAACAAAATCCAGAGCATAGGGATCCATCATTTGTTGATGTGATCCATGCCAAAAAAATGCACCATCCCAAGGAAAAGGATAAAATGTCGACGTATATTGATGAGCAAGCTCAGCAGTATACTATAAGTATTCTTTCTAATTATTATTTCTAATTATTATTATTTCCTACGAGAAATCGATTTAAGTTATATTTCTTTTATTTAAGTTTAATCATATTGGAAAAATCAATTAAAATAGAGGAAACATAAATTAATTGATTAATTGGGACAACATGAATTCTCCTATATTTAGGGGAAACTTTGGCGAATTTTTTTTATTGATATCTAATGATTTTTGGAGAATTGAAGTACTTATGATATAGTATTGATAGTTATATTAAGTATCTAATCAAGATTAAGTAATTTGTTTGACAATTATGATTATGTTGGTTAAACATTGATTTTTGATTGATTGTATTTTTATATTTTATGCATAGGGGGAAAATATAATTTTTAGGGGAAACTCTGATGAATTTTTTATTGATATATAATGATTTTTGAAAAATTGAAGTACTTATAATATAATATTGATAGTTATATTAAGTCTCTAATCAAGATTAAATAATTT